GTTGGACCAGGAGGAAATTTAAAAGCTGAATTTTTATAGCCAGTTGAAAAATAGAGTACAGCTAATAATGCTCCTGCACACAGCAGACAAATTAATGCAGGATCAGAGATAAATGAAATTAAAAAAGACATTTTTTTAGTAATAATCTGGTTTTTGGGGGTTAGAAGTAATAAAAATGCAGTGGCACTGTTCGGTTTCTGCCAGCTGGCTTTCTGTTTGCTCTCTGCGATTGCTACAAGCACTCGATTCTTATTAAGGTTTGTAGAGTACCTAAATAAATACTGCATACTCCACCCTCTTTAAACACCTCAGAGAATGTGGTCTAAGCAGTTTGCAAAGCCTGTCCAGAAGTAAAGAGAGTTTCAAATTACAAACCCATGCATGTGTGTGCAAGAACATATACATGGGAAAAGGTGCTTGGCATTCCTCTATAAGCTCCTCCTCCCCCTGAGACCTCAAGGTCCTTTATTAGCAGTACTATGACCCTCCAAACGCTCCGCTGGCACGGGGAAATAAAAAGTTTTCTCTGAATCCTATTAACCTCCAGATTCAGATTTGGATAGCGTTTGAGATCTCCATGTTACTAGAGAGACAAATAGTATCGTTATGGGAGAATTTAGCTTTCTCAATGTCAAGTGGAGATCAAAGGTTGTTAATAATGGTAAAGCCCGTGTATCCCTGGGGGTTGTAGCCCATAAACTTCTTTATAAAGTTGGCTCTGAACTGCCCAGAAGGGATGTGATTTCAGACTTTGTGTCTGAAGGAGAGGACATGTAATAGCTAGCCATGGAAAATTAGCTTGGATCAAGTGATCATGAGTGGATTCATGAGTGGAATGAAAAGACAAAATTAGATTTGAAACTTCTGGGAGGATTCTTCATTCTGCAAAAGCGGCTTCTAAGAGAGAGAGGGAAGAAATTAATGAAGTTAATGAAGCCAGCTGACCTGGCAGGCTTCAGAAGGGGAACAAGACAGGAGAATGGAATTATTTTAAGTCAAAGATATGAAACACCTGGAGCTTGCGTCCCTCATAAAGGTTTCAATCTTGTACAGAAGGAATTGAGATCTACCTGGTTGAATAGTGGCTTTCAGGAGGATATTGGGAATAAACAGACAATGGAATAAGATTGCTCAGGGAAGAAAGAGCTGTCTTACATGATCAGGAAGCACAAGGCTAAAGATACATTTATCCAAAAGGTTAGATCGTATGAAGGCTATTATTCAGCAAATATGGGTCCTCAGCCTTGCAAATGCAAAGAAGGTAGGGAAGGAAGTGGACCTAATGTGAAGGAGAGCACAGCTATGGTTAGCATGGTCCCAAAGCGAACGGCTGCTCGGTTGCACGCTGGAGCTGCCTGCGTGGTGTGGAGATGTTACAGCGCAACAGCCCCCCAGAAGCAGAAGAAGCAAGTGTGTTGCAACATTTCTGGGATTATTTTTTTTTATTAGTTTCCAAGAAATGGGCTGGAGGCAACGGTTTCTCCCCGAGCATGCCTAGGATGACTCAACCCTTCCTGCTCAAGTGAGTAAAGAGGCAGAGGGGCTGTAAAGACAGGCAAGAAGGATGAGGGCTGGCACAGGGTGCAGAATGTGGGCATTGTGATGAGAACTTGCGATGGCACGTGCTCTGCGCCCTGTGCAAAATGTTTGTTCCTGCAGGGTTTTGTTTGACCGGCAGCACCCTGCAGTGTGAAAGTTACATGTTGCTGCCACTCTCCTTTTATTTCATCCTTACCCTGGGAGCAGCTGAAATCATAAAAAGGCCTTTCAGAAAGAGACTTAAATTATCTCTGAAAAGCTGGGGCGGGGGGCGGGGGGGGGAGGGTATTGGTTTTTTTTGGGGCGGGGGGGGGGGGGGGGAGTGTATTGGTTTTTTTTTAAACCAGGCTCTGAGTGCAATGCATTAAAATGACAAAGGTAAGTCAAGCTCTTGTGATGACAAGAAATTCCTGTCTCAATAATGTGTCTGGTACGTGTTTTGCTCCGGAGCCACGCTGCTACGTGCTCCCCTGCCTGAGCACACAGAGCCGAGCACAAAACACCTGCCAGGCGCTGACATTGCTCCGGGTGCATTCCTGGGGCAGCCGGGCCCCTCAGGGTGCTCACAGCCAGGTTGTCCTCAGTCCCTCCTGCCCACACGGCAATCCTCTGCCACAGCATGTGAACCAGGTGGTGCTGGTGAGGACGTGGAGCATGGGTATCATCCACCAGCCCCTAAGGGCAGCCACTGCGCTGCCAGTTAGCCAGCCTGGGGAGGGCCAGCCAGTAAAGCACCAGCCCTGCATCCTTTAAATTAACACTCCCAAAATCTCTGTGCCTTCCCTGCCAGTACCATTCTTGACCAGCAGTGCATCCAGGACTGCAGCCTCAGATAACTCCTGCTGGCTTTTACTGTGATGAGTTCCTTTTGAACAAGGGCAGGAGCCACAGGAATCACTGTAAGAGGCCACATCAGAGAGCCATCCAGAGCCATGTCCTGTCCCAGGCAGCAGCCAGACCCAGGCACCACAAGAACTCCGAGGGCACTGTAAGATAATATATTCTTCAGCCAAGAAAATGTTTTTTCCTGGTCTTGTGTGGAGTCTAGTTTTTATGTTGAAGTACATGGAGTTGCATCCCTTCTCCAGTGTTAAAAGGCCATAGCAGGAATAAAAATCTATTTCCTCCTATTAGTTTAAATTTACTGCCATTCACTTTATTTTTCCATTTTGCCTCTGTGTTGAGAAAAGGTTGATGGAAGCAGATGACTCATCTTCTCTAGGACATTGCATGGCCTTACTCTTCCTACTTCTCTTCTCCATCTCCACTTCAAGGAAAACAACCAAATCTTCCAAGCCAGTATGCATGTGAAGGGTTTTCCTTCTCCATCATCATTTTTCTTTCCTCCTGTCCCAACTTCTCCTAAAGTCAGCATATCCTTTTGGAAACATGGTATCCCAAGCATAATGCCATCTCAACTGCTTGTATGTCTCCCTGGGACCGATGCAAGAAAAAGCCTTGCATGATGTCTTAAGCACTTTGGGAATCTGGGAGGACTCCCTAATTCACCAAATAGTGAGTTCTGAAAATTGTTCCTGTAAGTCCTCTAAGTCAGCAAGGTTACAACCCCAAGTGTAGACTTGCTAGCAAAGCTCCAAGGTCCCAGGTTTCTTGTATAATTAAACCGCATCAACACATGGACTGTGCATATGATTTTGACAGGAGATACTTTTGAAGGGGACGATTATTTAAGTATTAAAAAGGCCTTTTCAGTTGTGATTTTCTGGAGTTAGAAATTCAATCATTTCCTTTGAGCTGTTTGCGGTTATGAGTATTGCTCACTCTGTGCATCGTTAAACATGTTGCAGCTGCATGTTGCCCAGGGATCCCTGTGCTCACCTCTCTAATGTGGGTGTATTAAAGGGGGTGCAGCCCAACTTTACCATTTTGACACAAAGTCAGTTTCATCCTGCGACACCAGATAGATCAACAGCAACAGAGCAAAATATTTATTTATCAGGCTTGCAGTAGTTAGGCTGCAAATACAGCAACAGCAAAACAAACATAAGCAAATGTAGCAGCGAAGGCTTTCTTGTTACACAGCTTGTTAAGCAGGCTCCTTCAGATGTATCCAGAAGCTGGAGATGGCCCCACGGTACAATGTGTGTACAAGTGCAATACCAGTACAACTACAAGGTACAGGACAACTATTAGAGTGCTACCTTTAGTCGCATGAACTAAAGCTAGTGTGAAGAGTCAGTGTCTTGGCCAAACCAAGACCGCCTCACTTGTCATCATTAATCAGATGACCACACGGAAGCCTGTAGGTATGTGAAATTCATCAGTGACTGTGGGTAAATCAGTGTCTCCCAGATCTCCCAAAGAAGAGGTGGTTACCTACAGCAATGGGGGACAGGAGAAATGACCAGAAAACCCTTATCCTATGTTCTGTGTCCCTGTCTTCCTCCTTTCTTTCCTTCCATTTGCAGCACAGATCAGCTTAGGAGACAGCAACTTTAGTTTTATGTTATAGACTTACCATAACCGCCCCCTCAGTCTCTGTAACTTTCTCTTTCTCCCTTTTTTCTTTTCATCCTAATCTGCCTTTCCTGCCTCCAACCCAACACAAAAGCATCTTCAGTGAGTCGCTGCTCCCTAACTCACGTGTGGTTTCCTGCCTGTTTCACAGCGCGTGAAGAAGCCTCCTCTCTTGTACCTGCACCACCATTCAGATTTCACACACACATCACGCTTCCCTCAGTGGGTGTAGCCTTGCAGGTACAGCTAGTTGTTCCTACTCCCACTGGCTGCTACATGAAATAAATCATTAATTGTAATAATCAAACAGCTGCTCTAGGACAGCTGCAGCCTCTGGGGTGTCACCAGCTTTCTACAGAGACCCTCATACGACAAGTTAATGGTACAGGTGAGCAACTTGGTAACAAAGTCTAACCTGCTCCTTCTTCCAGACTCTATTACCAGTTTTACATCTATTTTCACAGTGACTACATTCAAAATCCTATTAGCCTTGACAGTGATGCAGGATCTCTGCTGGCAGAATGTGAGCATTATCAGCTCTGATTTTGTAACTTCAGTTCCTACCTAAGCGGCCAAAGCACTTCTGCAAGCACCAAGAATTTTGCTTGCAGTTCTTACTGTGATGGCCCTGCTCCTGCTGTGTACCGAGCAAGTGTAACTTCCACGGGAGCCCATGGCAGTAGTGTTTGCTCAGCAGTGCAGGCTGATCTGTTACTCTGCCTGGAGACCTTGCTGCCTATCCCTGACAAAAGGAATGTTTGGAGTGGAAGACAGCTTGAAATGGCCAGGGGCTGTGTATCTGGTGTAGAGCTGAAGACAGACAGCAACATTTTCTAAAGAGTTTAAGCCCCATTTTCAGTCAAATGGAAAATATTGTCTCTATTCATCTCAACACACCTGACACATGAGACTGAAGTTTGAATTAGCAGCCTGTGGGTGATGGTTCACCCTGCAGTCAATGGAGATAGTGAGCAATTCAGACCTTATGGCAGTTGAATCATCCACTGAAGGATTCTCTCTCTCTCTATGGAGGGTAGAGAGGATCTAGAGAGCAACTACGGCTCCTAAGGTGCAAGCAGAGAAGAGGGCTGAGCCTCTATCAGCTCTCTGATGGGAGCATGGCAGTCCTGCTGCCCGGCCCCAGGCTGCATCACCCTCACACTGCCTCAGGCTTGTGTCCAGCTTTAGCCATGCTGATTCAGAAACTCTTCACTTTCTGTGGCTGGTCATTGTCTGCCAGTTTAGGGATCTAAGCTGGCCTGGTAAGGGATCGGACAAGTGCCAGAGCCAGCATGAAGCCAGGAGAGGTGAGGGAGTGGTAGAAATACCTTTCTTAGCAGAAACAGAAAGCTGCTAGATTGGCCCCATCATAAATAGGCTTTTCAGCATAAAGTGCCTAGTGTGAGTTGGAATGAACCCACTTCCCAAACCTCTTAGATGTTTTCTGATAACTGTCCCGTGCCTGGCTCTTGGCATCAGCCCACGTTACACCCTCGTGTCTGGCACTCTGTAATAAAGATAAGGCAGGTTGTATCACACAATGGAAGCTCAGTCTGAGGCTCAGCTGAACAACCGTCCTGGGGAGATTTCTAGATCCCTTAAGTGTCTGTTGTCTCCAGCTGGGCCATTGCTAATCAGCTTTGCTGTAGAGCTTGGACTTTGGGCTGAGAAATTCCCCATGGAGGCTCTCAGGGGAGAGCCTCTGATGGGTTACATCTATAAAGGAGGCTTGAAACCATTTCATTCTTTCAAACAGCCCTGAAAACTGCATCTCTGATGTGCTGTTCCGGGAATAAATCGCACTGTTTCTGAGAGCAGTACTCAGGGGTGTCTGAAGGGTTTGCATTATGCAGACACCACAAGAGCTCTTGGAAAGAATTGCATGAATGAGAGAAAAATAGCAGTGCCTGGTGTCTTCCTTCCCCTAAAGCTCAGGTTCAGACAGCTTTTTTCCCCTGTAACTAGACTTGCTTTCAAGCTTGAAGTGTTCACTACTCTAACTCCACGTCGTTTGATCATTCATAGGGCACAGCACAAACCAGGTGAGGCATGGGGTTCAAGGTAAAGCCGACATCAGCAGTGAGATCTAGGTCTGACTTGTCCACTCCTGGAGGTGTTTGGAAAACAAATTTGCGGAGCAAGCCAGCAAAGAAGAGGAACAGCTCCATTTTGGCCAGTCCTTCTCCAATGCAAGCCCTTCGTCCTGAAAACAACCAGGAGAGAAGTAAATGATCAGCATTATAACAGTTAGTGTTGATGTCTGAGACCATCTAAACTGGCTGTACAGTCTGTAAGAGCAGGCTGCTGAGGTAGGAAATTTTTCCTTCTCTATATATATTAGAGGTGCTACTGACTTGGCCTCAAACCACAGAGAAGCCTGTAGGTATGTGAAATTAATCAGTGACTGTGGGTAAATCAGTGTCTCCCAGATCTCCCAAAGAAGAGGTGGTTACCTACAGCAATGGTGGACAGGAGAAGTGACCAGAAAACCCTTATCCTATGTTCTGTGTCCCTGACTTTCATACCTTCCTGGAATTGGGGGAAACTGTGTCATTAGCCTAGCCCCAGGTGGTGCACACACACCCCTCTCACCTAAGGAGAATGGAATAAATGCTTCTCTCCTAATGAAGTTCCCATCAGCATCCAGGAAGTGGGAAGGGTTGAACTGATCTGGGGTTTTCCAGTGCAGCTCGTCATTCAGAGCGGAGGTCAGCAGTGGAATAATCTCTGTACCCTGAAAGGGATCAAAGAAACTCACGGTAGCTGTTTGGAGCAGATCACTTTTCTAGTTGAGCTGGGCTGCTTTCTTTTTTCTAATGTGAAGAGGCAAATAAGACTGAGCCATGGCAAACAGAACTGGGGGATGCTTCCCTGCCCCACTGTGGCTCTGCCTGTTATCAGTAGCTGCTGCTCTCTTTTTGGACCACAAAATATTCCTTTCTTACAGAACCAGATCTTTCAAGAAAGAAGCTGAAGTAGAGGTTCCACATTTGGCATAAGAGATTCAAACCAGTGTGATTTAATTAAACTCTGGTTATTCTGGATTCAAACAGCTGTAACAAACCACAGTCCAGTGCATGTTTATAACAGCTATCCTGGATCCAAGAAGAAGGATCACATCATAGATTAAACCACGCATCATGGCGTCTTTAGATTTTTATATTTTTCTTCTTGGCTGCTTTAAACAAAACTGTAAGGAATCTGTGCAATGTAAGCTGCTAGCCTCAAAGCTCACCTTAGGAATCACATAGCCTTGGAAATTCACATCGGTAGGAGTTGATCGTGATACACCCATTGGGACAATATTGGCAAACCTTTGTATTTCATGTATCACTGCATCTGTATAAGGCATTTTTTTCCGGTCCTCCAACTTAGGCAGCTCTCCTGGTTCAATGACATGGTTCATTTCTTCCTGAATCTTTCCTTGGAAGGAGGAAAGGATTAAGAAGCTGATAACCCTCTTATCTTGCAACTGAAATGGCCTCCAGTTTGGCCACGATGAAGAAAAGAGAAAACTTTGAGGGGTATTTGGGAAGAGCAGAAGTGGGTAAGTCAGGGCATGGCATGGTTCTTTCAGGTTTGTTGCTGAGCCAAGGGAGCTTGAATGGAGTCACTACAGTACCTGATCCCATGCCTGATTCTGATTACACACCTTTGTTACCCCATAGCCTTCAACAGAAACCAGATCAGAATCAGCTCCTGAGGAGACCTTTAGTGACGTAAGCCCATAGCCTGCAGGAGAATAACGATGGGGGAGCTTTACTGTAACTGTAGACTGGCCCTTAGCCTCTCCCACTTGGCTGGGCTGCTTTATTGCAATCCAGCTGAATAAAATTCCTTTGTAAAATCAACGGTTGTTATCTCTCTCAGAGTACTCGGAATAATTACTCTAGACAACACTGAATGAGTTCTACTCCCTTCCACAACCAAAGCCTTAAGCATGCAACAGTATATTGTACAAGAGGACTTCTCAGCCTTACTCTGAATTTCTGGGTATTTCATCATCAGCAGAAGACCCCAGCGCACAGTTGTAGAAGTAGTCTCAGTTCCAGCGGCAAAGAGGTCCAAGGTTGAAAACAACAGGTTTCCGTCATTGAACATAGTGTGGGGTTTCTTTGACTCCTTCAAAACATACATGTAATGGCCATAAGTTCTACAGTAAGTGATACCAATAGGTGACTGTGTTGCCACCATTTTTATATGCATTTTAGCTTTTTGTGACTTTATATGCTCTGGGAAACTAAATGTTTAGTATTTTAGCATTAGGGCCTCTGCTGTATGGAATTTGTCTGGTCCCAAGTGTATGTGCAATCCCCAGGTCCAGATATTAGGTTAGTTGGAACGCAGTTACTGCAATGAAGTTTATCACTGTACCGTTCTTGCAGGAAGGTTTGGGATGATCTCCTTACGTGTGCTGAGTGGTAATTTATTTCACCCACGTGGGACATCTTGACAACTAGATCCCTTTAACCAGCAGTTTCAGTGGAGCTATGGAGCGAGTACAGCACAGCTCACTGTGAGTATGAGCTTTGATATATTCTGCTCACTGCAGTTCTGCTTCCACTCACTCCCAGTCCCTGACAGATGGTCAGTCCTAATAATAAGTGAGAGCTAAGAGAATAAAAAGACTCTGAGACTTAGCTTTAAAGTACCTGTTTTTGCTTCATCAGAAAGGCATCAACAAAGCCTGTTAAGTTATTTTCATTAAACTCTTCTTTGTGTTCCTGGAAGAGCTTCTGGAGAAATGCATTCAGTTCACTGATGTTTTGTAGCACAGTCTTGGAAGCTCCAGAGAGAAATCCAAGGGATGGGTAGAAATTATATAACTGTGGAGCAAGAGAAGTCTTACTGTTAATTGGCATTTTGAACACATACTGGTATCTCAAATCACACTGCTGGTCTCTTGTCCCATGCCCTGACATTTCAGGCCGTAATTCCCCCACATTTGCTTGTACAGTCCAAGCAGTTATGAATTGCTGCAGAAATAGAGTGTTGTCTCCGTAATACCTCTGCATGAGTCCTTGCCATGACTTTTGGGAGACTCATCAGCTTAATCTTCTTTCAGGGTTTCCAGCTGTGTGGGTGGTGGGACAGAGGGTCTCAGATGTGAAAGATGGGAATGTGAGCATTGCACTTATTCCAGGGAAAGCCCTCAGATGTGTTACATCCTATGGCAGCAGAAGGAACTTGAACTGGCCACCAGACAATATTGCTGTGTCAACATGGTGCTTTCCAAGCCAATTAGCTTAGGCACAGCACCGAGCTAACCCAGCTACATTGTTCCTAGGAGCTGGGCTGAGCACAGCATTGCAGTATGTCATATGGACATACGTGCTGTCAGGACAAAGGAGGGGTGTCACCCCATGAGAGGTGTGCACATCTTCAAGGAGACCACTAGCTGCCCTGCCAGACAATTAAACAAACACCCACCATTAGCTGTTAGCTGGTGCCTCGTCCTGGGAGAATGTCTGTACACAGTGTGTAACTCTGACCTGTGCTCGGGTGGTGCTTTTTGGGCTTAGCTAGTCTGGAGTTACAGCCAGCCGCAGACCTCAGTGCAGCTCAGAAAGACGACTCCACTGGCATTCAAAGCAGAAGCTTTGTGTCAGGAAGGAACGGGCTTATATCAGCTGTTAGTTTGCTAAGATTGAGTTTCAGTAGCCAAAACAAAAGAAAAAAAAGTTTGTCAAACCTGGTTCTAGGAGAGGCAGAACTAAGACAGTTACTGAAGGTGTAATACAAGGAGTCAGATTTGAGATGGCATTTCAGGGCTGATCTCTGATATGAGAGACGTATTGTGCTTCTGCTCTTCAAAGAGGGTAAAATGGTTCCTTTTGTAAAGACTCTGTTTTTTTTCATTCACTAATAAGCTTCACAGATTAAGCCCAGGGGCCTGGGAATCCGTGAGGTGTGGATACAGAACCGCAGATGTGTTCCGTACAGGCTGGCTGGCTAATAATGTTCATGTTCTCGCTTCAAGAAGCAAGATGTGGGAGGCCTGGAGGACAAACATGGGGAACTGGATATCCTCAAAAAAGCTAAAAGCCAAAATGTAAAATCAAGCTCTTACCAGCACCATAGGGGAGCCAAACAGCTTAGTATTTTCATTTAACAGCTTCAGCAAATTTAGAAATACAGGATCATCATATTCAAACCTCTCTCCAAACAATATAGAGCAGATGACATTGGATACAGCATTGTTGAGTATCATCTTCGTATCAAATGGTTTCCCTGTATTTCAAGCAATGAAAACAAATGACGATGTGAGTATGCCTGTTTCAGTCTGGTTTCCTATGGAAATGTTGTCCTGAGCTCCCAAAGAAAAAACTCATTCGCCACCCAGAATGCCTAGCAGGGAACTCAGTTTCAATGTTTTAAGGTCTCAGTTTAATAACCTACTTCAGCATATGCTGAACTTTAACCACGAGATATCATTTGCTCAGAGTTAAACTTTCATTAACCTTTATTGTTCTGCTAGACATATTTTCTGTCTCTGGATGAAAGTCTTGACACTCACCATGGTAGGATTCAAAATATTTGATAAGGGAATTTACTTCCTCCAGGATTCGGATCTCAATGGTTCTCTTTCCCATTCCGAAATCTCGCAGTGTGGACAAGGTGAATCTTCTCATAGTTTTCCATAGCTCTCCATGGCTGAATGCTATGCCTAAAATAAAGGTGTAACATCCTTATGTTACCTGTGGTTAATAAATGTTTATAAGGCCTTCTTACACACTGGTACCAAAGCTGCTTGATACGCTGTTACATAAACAAAAAGCAATCTGTAAGAGGATGAAACTCTCCTGCTGTAAGAATATAATGAACATAGACAAACTACAGAAACTAACCAACCAAAAGGTCACTTACCGTTTCCTTGTGTCATTTTCCTAAATATGGGTATTTCTGCCCTCTCTCCAAATTCTTCAGCATGATTTAAAAGGGCATCCTTGATGGTTTCGTATCCAGCCAGTACCACAGCTTTCCTGGGTCCAAAATGCACAGTGAAGATGTTGCCGTATATCTTGGAGAGCTGTCAAGGTGAATAAATATGTTCATTCAAAACCAGATCTGGACCCAAACGCTAGCACTAGCCACCCTAGGTGGTTTCTAGCCCGAAAGGAGCCTCACAGCCCTGTCTGAAGTCTCCAGGCGCTGCTGTAATGCAACTAATGAGCAACAGCTATCAATTGCCAGCATCTCTGCTTGCACCCGGTTTGCACAACAAGGTGTCTGCTATCACTGCTCCTATCAGAGCAGAAGTCAATAAAATGCCATTGCATTCCTGTGGTGTTCTGCAGTAACAGGCCAGCGTAGCGATACCACCGTTCGGAGGCTGGTTAGAAAATGCTGTAGCAGGCAGGCCTGTTTATTTTAATGCTGTTGACCTAAGGCAAGCAGGCGTGCACACATCTTTGAGGCTGAAGCCACAAACACTACGAAAACAAAGCTCAACAATAACTCTTTCTTTCAGGACAGCACTTGTCTCTAATTATGGCAAGGTGGGTAGTGTTGCAGTCATTGCAAAATTATTTGCTGGCCACCAGAAACTTGAATCCAGCTAGGACGCGTATTCTTGTAGATAATGTCACAGGAGCTCTAGGCTTTTATAGCAAATTAAATATGAATCATCTGTTACACAGAAGGATGGCTTTGACAATGTAATCATTCACTCAGTATTTTAGTCTTCGTTTAAACACACTGCAAGCCATCCGCTCCAAATGTCTTCTTGTTCCGATGTGCCTGGGTTACCATTTGCTATGCATTAGATACATACCGAAAATTGAATTTCAGATTAGAAGCAGTTCCTGTTATTACACCAGACAAATTGAATTTGTTTTCATCAAACGGTGGTTTGACGGCTTGGGAGATAACATTAACGCTGGTTCTTTCCTCCCTGGCAGCTCACAGAGTGTGTGGCAGAGTCAGGGGCAGGGAATCACAGCTGCCTCCCAGCCTTCCTTTGGTCATTTCTTTGCATTAGTACCTCTTGGCATCAACCCTGTTTTTTCTCAGCAACACAAGTATTGGATGTGGCAGGCCTGAAAGCCTAAAGAAAGCTGCTTGGCAGATTATAGGAAATGAGTCTGGTGCCTTCGCGTGACATTTGTATTATAAAATCCCCCAGTACCGCCAAAAATAGTTGCTCTTCCATACCAGCACCCTCAAACATACCTATGACCAGATGGGAGCTCAGGACCAGAAGCCCATCAAAACTGTGCTCTGCACAATCCTCTGCACCGTAAATCAAGGCAAATGAACATTGTGTGACTGCCATAGGAATTCTGTACTTTTGCAGCCCAGGATGCCCTTCTTCTACGACTAACAGGAGAATTTTGGTGTTTGCCCTGCCCTCTCAGGTGGGCTGAAGGAGTTCACTGGGGACTGGGTTTCCCCTGTCATAGCGTCCCGTAAGCACACACACAGGGTATGTGACAGGTCACTTACGGCACCTCAACCGTCTCTACGGCAACCAGAAGAAATCTGAATTCACATTGAATTGTCCCCACCGCCCTACGGGAGCACAGCAGACACTTTCTGAAACAAACATTGCACCTGGCTTTAAAATATCTAAGTCTTTTTTTTCTCTCTTTTAGAAATAAAAGTATCCATGGAGCTGCACAAGAAAAAGCAATTTGTTTACCTAGACATATAAAAGCCACGCATCAAGTCTTAAATAACCCTGGCCAGTGTGTGTGCAGGGGAAGGGTTGGGGAGGCAGAGTTGAGCTTTGCATTGCAGGGATATAATTAGCTTTGGAAATAAATGTGCCTATGACCCCATTTGCTGTGGGGATGATACCCTTCCTTCCGTCCGTCCGTCCGTCCGTCCTTCCTTCCTTCCTTCCTTCCTTCCTTCCTTCCTTCCTTCCTTCCTTCCTTCCTTCCTTCCTTCCTTCCTTCCTTCCTTCCTCCTTCCCTCCCTCCCTCTCTCCCTCCCTTCCTCCCTTTCTTCCTTCATACCTACCTTCACTGGGAGAGGTCTGTCTGCAGTGAGACATCTCTTGATGGCAAATGGTCCTGATCTGTCAGCAGACTGGCTCAGCTCGCGTCTTCTACCTGCAGCCTCTGAGGGGCTTGAAATACCAACAATATGGAGCTAATGGCAAGGGGTGGGGGTCTACACTTGTGTGTGTACAAAGGAAGGAATGTGTGTATCATATTTATATATATATAAATGCATATATGTGTGTGTATACCTCTCAAGGTAAAGTCACTCTGCCAGCCTGCCTATATGCCAAATATCTCATTTCTGCCCTCCACACAACGCAAACACAATCGCATCTCCATGTCCCTAGTTGCATTTCTCGCTTCAGGAATTGCATGTTTTCCTCTTGTCTGCTCGCTCAGACCCTACCTCTGTCAGCGACTGGAACGGCTTTTTGAGGTCCACCACATTCAAGTTTCCGATCAGAGGAAGAGGTCGTGGCCCGGGAGGCAAACTGCAAACCGACTTCTTGAAGCTGGTAAGAAAGTAAAGGAGAGTGACCAGCCCTGCTGCCAAATAGAGCAGCGAGCCAGAGCCCGTGTATTGCAGCAAACTCTGTATGGCCATGTCTAGATCAAAGTGTGGGTATGAGCATCGCGGGGTCCCTTTATAGCCCTTCTGTCATTGCCCGAACACACCTTCTGGGGAAGTGGCTTTACACAGAGAAAAGGACTCTGAGGTCTTGTTTACTTCCATTTAGACCAGATGTACTTTTTTTCCTGCCAAATAAAGCACCCTATTTTATTCTGAAACATGGATTATCTTAATCTGGAGCTCCTGTTTCATCTACAACACTGGGGCAAGGTGTTTGTTTTCCACTGAAAATCTGTGTTATGGGCATGTTGTGGTCTACGTGATTTCAGGGGCAGAATTAAGGGACAGGACCCGTGCTGGATTGCTGTCACGGTGCCAGGTCACAGGGCTCAGCTGGACCACTGGTGATGCAATGGAGGAAGCAGGACGCAGGAGGGAAAGTCCACAATAACGCATGGCCTAAGGTGCAGCTGGCAAGGAAGTCCTCAGTGAAGACAAGGCTGACCAAGGAGGAGTTGGAACGGGGGTGGCATGAAGATGTGCTAATTCAGGATTGCAGACAGCAGTAGGTCCACTTACAGGTGACAGCTCTGATTCTTTTTGCTTTCCTGCCACCCCAGTAAAATCACCTCCTTGAGCAACACAGTGTGTTCATTGCTGACACGGTTATTGATCTTTGTCCCAAAAATCCTCTTACCGGCAATCCCAAAATGCCCCTGAAACCACTTCAGTCACTATTTTGCAGTTTACTGTCCAGAGGACTGTGTGCCTGGATGTCCATCTCTGTGTTTGGTGATGACTCCTTCCTGGCTGTCCTGCCTGTTTATGAGCAGATCATAGAATCATAGAATAGTTTGGGTTGGAAGGGACCTCTAAAGGTCATCTAGTCCAACCCCCCTGCCGTGGGCAGGGACAGCTTCAACTAGATC